TTGGGGGGGGGGGTAGCTCAAAGTCAGTCTTGTTGCCATGACGGACTGTTTTGTTGAAGGTCAGTTTCTCTTCCAATTCAGCTACTCAATGTATCTCAAGCCCCAATAAAACGATAAGCAGCCAGGAAGTGGCTATTTTTTACAGGAAGACTGTCGATAATATACCTATTACGTTGTTACCTACTTATAGACATTCATTCTTCATAAAATATCCCCTGACAAAGGTGAACTATATATACAATGGGGGAACAGTATCAAAATCATATTTTTCTTCTGGAAAGTTGTGGAATATTTGGAATAGGAAATTTTTATTTCAAAAGAAGAAATGAATATTTCCCCAAACACAATAGTAAAAATCAAGAAATATAATCTGGTTACCAGATCATAGTCCATCTCTTCATCTATCAAGAATTCCAAACTCTCTTCCGAACTTACACTGTCAGATCGGCTGTAAAAGACAAAAAAGAAAATGCCTGGTCCCTGAGTCATTTTCTGTCAGCAGATTCGCTTTCACTTCTAACTTTTCTCTGGAACCTGTCACACAGTTTTCTTCCATAGCCTGTTGAGCCTTTTAGGGAACTGCTTCTTTCAGGAATCAGTGGATTCCATGAGAATGTAAAAGAAAATTAGATTCACCCAGACAAGTGTGACATGCAGACAATGGGACCAGAAGGAAAGGCTGTACCAGATAGTCCCAGTTATTTGAGGTGCATCTACAGAGTAAGGTAATTTTTTTTTTTAAAGAAACACATGACAACCTACATTGCTCACATCCATGTTGTCCGCTTTGACTCAGTCTTCTCAAAAAACTGAATGTGCCTTTGTGCTCAAAACAAAGCTTGTGTCCCAAGTGAAAAGATGTTCACACCATTAGGTACTGGGGAAATGCAAACTAAAAGCACAATAAGATACATCTATCAAAATAGCTAAAACAAGAAAACTGGAAATACCAAATACTGGTGAGGATGTGAAACGGTACAGCCACTCTGGGAAACAATTCGGCCGTTTCTTTAGACTAAACTTGCATCTACCATCCAACTCAGCAATTGTATTCTAGGCACTTATCCCAGAGAAATGAACTATGTTACACCGAAAGTTGTATAAATAAACTTACAGCAATTTTATTCATTATAGCCCCAAATTGGAAACAATCAGGATGTTCTTCATGAGTGGATAATTAAGTTGTTGTGCATCCATACCACAGAATACTACTCAGCAATAAAAAAGAACCAACTACTGATAGACCCAACAGTCTGGATCAATCCTCAGAGAATTATGCTTAGAAAAACATCCAATCCCAAAAAGGTTACGTACTGTATGATTCCATTTACAGAACATTCTCGAAATGATAAAAACCATAGAAATGGAGAACAGTGGTTGTCAGGGTCAGAGGGGAGGCAGAGAGAGGGAAGTGAAAGTGACTATAAAGGGGCAGCAAGAAGAACCCCTGGGGCATGTTCTGTATTTGATGGTCTCTTGACTGTATCAGTGCCAATGTCCTGGTTGTGATATTGTACTAAAATTTTGCAAGATGTTACCATTGGGGGGATCTGGGTAAAGGGGCCCTCTCGGTATAATTTTTTCCAAACTACATGTGAATCTACAATTACCCCAAAATAAACATTTAATTTAAAACAAACAAAACAAAACAGCGACTGCTAAATGCCACAGTGCCCCTGGGATTCAGAGCACAGTGCCTGTGTTGACTTGTCATGTATGATTGTCATGGATTCTGTGGTGCTGGCCCAGATCCTTTCCTTGGGGCCTGGGTACCCAACCTGGGCATCAATATATTTTCTTAAAGCTCCCTTGGGGTGGCCAGGGTTGAAACAAACAAAAATGCTTTATGGTCCTATTGCGTCAGTTTTGAATGACGTGGTGAATTGCAAACACACAGGTCAGCAGAGGAACTTAATAAGCAGTTGGGCAGTAGGTTCTGAGCGGCAAAGACTCAAGATGGGATGGGGGTGGGGAGTAGCAGGCAGTTTCTGCAAAGAGCAGTTGCACGCACTTCTCAAAGAATGCAGAGAGGCCCGTAAGAGCTCAGTCACCTCAGGAGCACACAGAAATGGCAACCACTACCTCCAGTATCAGTAACAAAGGGCGTGCTACATGGTATGTATGTTGAAGAAAGGCTAAGAGAGAGATTTGCTGAAAAACATTGTTTCCAAGAGAGTTCATCAAGTAAGTACTGTACTTTGACAGGGATGACTTGTTACCCTCTAGGGTGCGAGTGGCCTTCTTGCGTAGTTTTCCTGTTCAAAATGTCCAAGCGAAGTCCAAGTCGTTGGTGATGGTGGAGGTGAAAAGAAATAGCATAGAATTAGAAATCAGTCCTTGTTATTTGGCACAAGATATTCATTGTTCTGCACGGATATGCCCATCACTTTAAAAATTATTAGAATCATACAGAAAATGGAGCTCTTTTATTCTGCTGAACTTGGATTCCAAGCATAAGAATAAAATCAAAGGAACACTGGGGGGCGGGGGGACATTTGTCAAAAAACGATACAGGTCACAAATCAGGGACATGAACTGAAATAAAAGTCACAGTTCTGTTTTTATCTAATCATACATATTTCTAATCACAAGGGTTTTTTTTTAATTAAGGGAAAGATGATGGACACTTCAATCATTACATCTTGTGGAGAAACTTGTCATTGCCACGTACAAGTTGCCCATGCACTTGGTCCCCCCACATCGTGTCTACGCCTGATCCTGATCTGAAACTGAGCAGCGGGCAAAAGTGGTCTCGGATCTTTTCATTCTGTGGCCCCCAGGTCCTCCAGATCACCTTTCCTCACACCAGCGCTCTTAGACTTCCAACCCCTCTTCCCTCTATTCTGTCCTGAAGTCACAGCAGGCCTCACTGTCCCCGCCCTCTGTTTCCCAGGTTAGCGTATAGGTCCTTGGTCTCCACTTTGAGATGTAGGCACCTTCTCTGGTTTTACTTTAGTGAGTGAAGTTTCATCTCTTGTCATGTTACCTTGACTACTTCTTCCCAGGGAATTTTCTTCTGAAAATGATGTCTTCCTGGAGTCCTCAGTATTGACCTCCATTTTCCTTGAATTTAATTCTAGAAATGGAAAATGGGG